AGAGAACTTGCAGAGATCAAATCGTAATAAAAACATGACTTGTCTTCAATGTTGTCAGGTCGATTTGTAGACAGTGATTGGCATCATGCCGGCCTCTTCCCCGAGATTATCTGCGACATCACATCCTGCAAGGATCAAGACCCATGCTGTGGGGATATGTGGATAGCATCCATCCACTTTCCGGAGTTGATCCTTGGCTAACTCCCCTCTTAGCTTCTCAAGGTCAACATTAGAATGAGGAAGTATGTTGTATAACATTGTATGTGAAATTCCAAAGCTCTTGGGCAGCTGGACCTTCCTGGAGTACTATTAACACGAGTCACGTGAGCCATGGAGGTGATACACTACATAAATTCCCCCACAGGATCGCTATTAACTGCTTGGACATGGGATATGCTACTGTGTATGTGTCCCGGGCTCTCACTTGATAGTAACTGGATGCATATATATCCAGGCAATAGTACAGTGTCAACACAAATAAGTCTCTTAACCTAGAACCCAAAGCTGTCCAGCAACGAATTGGCATCCGGCTCATGAAACATCGTAGGAGGCGGCTTCGGTTTCGCCTTCGGTTCTTCTTTCTTTGGTTTCTCGCCAGGTGTGATTTCAGTGCCAGCGGGCCCCTGCAAGACATCTGCTCGGTGCACCGGCATATCAGCAACTACTAGGCTGCTCCGGCGGCGAAGCAGTTTCCGGTAATCGACTCCGTTCTCATCCATCTCCAGGGATGTATTAGGCTTTAATGCATCCTGGGTAGGAAGTCCTCCCAGGAACTCCCAGTGGCGTACAAGATCGAGGGCGAGGAAATCACAGCCCATACGGTCGTAGAGTCGGGCATTGCGAATAATGAATTCCCATTCTTCTCTAGGTCGCACTTTGGAGGCGCCTTTGAGGGTTTGGAGTGTTTTAGCGCGGAGTTGGTGGTATAATACTACCAAGGCAGGGTCGTTGGAGAGATATGACTTGGACTGAAGGGTGCCTCGCCCCGGGCTTCCCGAGGTAACTGGGGTCGCTGGTGATAGGAGGGTCTCGACCGGCGACTAGATCTGGTTAATTGGAGTCTGTTGTCAAGAGAAGGAAAGTACTCACAATCAGTGCCCGCACTGCCATATCCCGTCGTCCAAGCATCCAGAAAGCCCAAGAGGCCATCCAGCGGTTGCCCTCGGAAGCGGCCTCCGGCAATACTCTTTCTTCCAGAATCTCCCGAAGAACCGGTCCGTTATCCCCTTCTGAGGCTCGAGTAATTGCGATCGCGAGCTGGAGATCGCCCATGTGGTTTATGATGACGTTTGCAGCGTCACGCAGATGATCGGCCAGAAGGAAGAAGGATGCAGCATATTCTGTGGAGTGTTAGCTGACAGTACTCATTGGTAGACAATATACGAGTTTCGAATTACCAAATCGTCGCTTTCCAAGCAATGCAAATGCATTCTTGAGCGCGGATGTCCTCCATCGTGGTTCCTTGAAGTCGTTTGCCAACAAACGTTGGGTTGCTGCTTGTTCGCGGTTCCAGTGTGCAATACGCCAGAGACCCTGAAGGACATTCTTCTTTCCAAGAGCGAGGTAATACAATGTACAGTCGATGGGGTTTTTCTCTTCCGTCTTGGTGTATTCACATCGAGCGATGATTTCGAGTTGTGCTTTCTAATCAACTGGTTAATTTGTGGCCAAGGAAACGATATGACAGAAACGCACCACAGCTACGGAATCCGATAGCCACATGAAGATACCGCTTTCACGAGCAGCCTTCCAAGTCAATTTTGCATTGAATTGCCGGGAGACAAGATCGGTGAGAATATCTTGGCTGCTGCTATGGTAAGCCCAAACAATCTCTCGCCATGAGACAGTATCTTTGTTGGCGACTCCTTGGGTCCGGCGCAGCATATGCTGTCGGAAGAATAAGAGATAGCGTGCTGCATTATCGTCCATTGAGCGCCGGTGCTTCTCAACCATAGCCACGCATTCAATGGTATCTGCCAAGCGGAACTGTTCGTGGCTAGACAGTTGCGGCAGGGCGATTCGTGCTAAACTCTCATTGAGCGTAGCTGCGGTAGTTTCATCTACGACAGATGAAAATTCCTCATCGGTGGAATCAACGTAGGAAGAGCGTATTTCCTTGGAGAACCCTTTTTGAGAATCCTGACTTTTGTTAGTATCAGGAAGAGAAATGATACGATGCGAACTTACATCTTGTTCGTAGAAATATTCTACCGGCATCTCCAAGAAACCATCTAGTTCATCACCATCGGTGTAGAACTTCAGCTTGAGATGTAGGTTCAAGAGAATCGAATGTACCAATCTATTCTTCCCAGCCAGGATACACTGTGCCAAGTACTGTGGATGGAATACAGGCAACGGGCCATTCAGCCGGCTGACAATGTCGAAGAGATCGACAGACTCCAGCCCTCGAGACGGCATCCGAAGCTCAGACACTAGGCGGTCTCCAACATTAATATCCTTGTCATAAACGAACAGTTGGTTCCCAGCTCCAATGACCAAATGGCCATTATTCAGCCAGCAAGAGTCTCCTATGGGGTGAGGTGTAAGATCTCGGATCCAGATCTCGCGAACTTGTGTCCACGAGGGTCGGGAGTCTAGATAATCATAGCGGAGCTGAGACAAGAGAACAACCTTGTGTGGGAATCCCACGGCTAAGATGGACTGTTTGTCTGGAGTTGAGGTCCAGTCCAAATCCTGGATAGTGTCATGTGAAGCAAAATGTTCTTCGAACTCCAGCTGAGAATTGTTGGTGTCCCAGATTGTGAGGCGAGTCCGGTCCTCATCGACCAGAGCTGCTTTGCGAATAGAGCTCCCACTAGCCATAGATGGGTTGATGACGCCCGTATCAACAGTTGATTGGAGTAGCCAATCGACCTTCATATTCGCTGGATCGACCGTGGCTGTCCATGTTCGCACAACTCCGCTGTGGGTGTAGGAGAGAGCAATGTCGACAGAAAAAGAATCGAAGAACCCCGATGTTTCTGTTTTAGGGCCTGCTGGGTCCACGGGAAGGATATAAGCAATATCCTCTTTCAGCCCCATGTCAAAGGTGCAAAATTCTCGCAACTGATAGCCATGGTCATTTACAAAGCTCTCTTTATGACCTTCCTGGCTTGGACCGCGTATTTCCCACGCGATTCCGTGCATGTCTGCCCATATCGTTGCTACATAGAAAACACCTGGAGTCGTTTGAGTGCTGGGGATTGGCAGCACACATAGTGGCTTGCCGGGCAGTGTGAATTGCAAAGAAGCCAATTTCTTGGCATGATTTGAGCTGAAATCCCATAGGGAAACGCCATTGTGGTGGAGATTGACGAGAAGATTACTGTTCTCCAGCACACATGTCCGATGAATATGCTCATCTGAGAGGAGAACACTCTTGTGTGCTAAGATCGATCTTCCATCCTGACGCTGCTGTGTCCATACAGTGGCTTTATTTTCATTGGTACGTGATACCAGTGTATCTCCAGTCGCATTGCGGACAATCTTTTTCACAGGGGCAGTATGGCCAGACCAAGAAGCCGTTTGAGTGATTCTTTTCGTGCGTGGTGCAGGGTCAAACAGAACATCCACATGAGAATCATACCACTCAATCCGACCGTCGAAGTGATGGACCAGGACACTGAGCTTGTCATCCGAGGTTGTACTTTGGAATGCACGAATTTGAGCGTAGTCTTCTTGCGGTGACTGATCAGATGAAAATCCCAAGTCCAATCCTTCAACATGGAGAATATTGAAGACGCTCAAGTTTGTCTTTGCCTTAGAACCGATATCTTCCAAAGCCCAGGCAGACATGTGGCCCTGGCCATCAATGACAACACAGATCTCCGGGGCTTTGCTCGCAACCTCGATGATATGTTCTAGTGCATGGTTCTCCTTGTTTCCTGCGGTCCTCTGGACAGCACGCTCAGTCGCAACACAGAAGTCGCGGCTATCCAAAATAAAACCATACCGCCGTTGGGGCCCTTGGTCCTCATCCGACGCATGCCTAGGTTGAACTGACTCACCCATATCAATCTCTGCCCAGAACTGTAGGGCAGAAAGCGCATGAACGTCCGTCACTGCCCATACTCGAATCTTGTTATCGGCGCAAAATGTATACAGAACATTATCCATAGATTGCTCGGGGTGCCGAGGTAACCGCCAGTGTATCCCTGTGACAACATTCGGATGAGGTAGGTACGAGTTCTCGAACCGAACCTCGTCTGCGCCGAAGGCCAGTCGTCTCCATACCTTGACCAAGCGGTCATATTGCCCTACTGTAACAATCAAGGACGAGTCCGGAGAAAATTGCGCGAATTTCACGGGTGTCGCAAGCTTTCTTTTCCATACCAGGCGCGGCTCGTCGTTCATAAACCAAAGGGCGAGGCGGGAGTTGCCCACCAGGAGCTCGTTCGAGGAACCCCACGATAGTGTATAGATCGGTTCGTCGTCATCGGGGGAGCGGAATGTATAAAGGAGTGACCACTAAATTAAGCCATGTGTCAACATCAATTGTGATTGCCATTATGAGACTGTATTGCTGGCCGACCAAGCTCCGAGTAGTGGGGTTATATGCGCACCTTGAGGGTTTCGCCCTGGATGCCGTATGGCTGGTACACGAATACATCAGGGCCACCACAAACAGCAATCTTGCCAGATGTTTCGTCAAACGCTATGACTTCGAGGGTATCTGTGTCGTCGACGTAGATTGTTTGGAGGAGCGTTTGCGGACCGCCGAGGATAACCAGCGCGTGGCCGGAGATGTATGCCTATTGGAGAATGCGCGGGGCCAAGGGTCAGCAACAGGGGGGCTTTAAATGAGGCGCAGAGCTGGAGTGAAAATGTGGGAAGATTTGAGAGTACTTACAACAACACGAAGACCATCCCACAAGGCCGTGCTGAACGACTGAAGCTTCGCTGGGGGTCTCCCCGGCAGTACCGCTCGCATGGAGGCGGTTGGTTCGGTGGATGGACGCTTGTTGCGCTTGAAACACGTTATAACATTGCCAGGTCAAAGATTATTGTGCCTGGAAGTAGCCGGAGTCGGAAGGGAACGAAGGGTAGAAGATGGGTGTTTGGGGGTTGTCTGGATACGCGCAGGGGACAAGGCGGGAAGACCTGATGATGTCGCTTCCGCTCCACTCAGTGTGACTGATGACCTTCGACTTCAACAACACAAAGGAGTTGGGTATGGATATGAACATGATGTAAGTTCAATAATTTTTATTCTTCAGCGTGGGAATTCATATTAAAAGAGCTCTAAGTGATTTGGGGCATAGCTACAGAGCTCCCCGATAAGCATTTACCTATATCTGACGTGGGGATCGATTGGCCCTGGGAACGCCCCAATAGACGAAACATCTCATCTTATACTACAAGTTTGTTCATTTTTTCTTTGGAAAAGTTCATTTCATAATGTGAGTATCACATTCAATCATGGCAAAAGTACAAAACTGTATACCAAAGACCCAAAAAAACCTTGAACTCGCTATATGCTGCGCCGGATGATGCATTGAATGAAACATGGTCGCACCTATCGACAGCGCATGAGAGAGAGAAAAAAAAAGTATAATCATCGCTAATGTACATGAGGCTAAAGTAGCTGCAAAGAGGTCATATACCGAACAAGTACTTCAAGTTCGTCGATTTGCTGATCTGCGACCATCTGTTGGAGACTCGGGAGGTTCTTCATCCACAAACCGGACGCTATTTCCCACCGAGCTTCGTCGACCAGTCCGTGGCCGTTTGGATGAGGTGGATAGAGCAGTCGTAGTCCCGGCTCGAAGTAGTCGACTTGCGAAAGGTGTGCGTAGGGGTGTGGCGGGGGTGGTGGATACTTGGGCGAGGGCTCGCGCCCGGGCGGCTCGTTTAGAGGGAGAGGTTGTGAAATTAGGAGTTGCCAAAGGGCTTGCAGAGATAGGATCATGGGATGTTGCCTGTGATGTTGCCTGAGATGTTGCTGTGAAGTCACTTATTTTGAAAGGTGTTTCCGCCTGCTCTTGATACCAGGGGTCGAACATAGCCGATCCGGCGCCATCGCCATTTCCAAAGGTTGACATTCGTGCAGGCGTGAAAGATGGACCGGCAGAATCTCGAGCTTCCAGCTTCATTCGGGCGTTGTCCACCCAATCGCGGAACATGTTTCTCGAGTGTTTCCTCAGATTTCTTTCCCGCATGGCTTCCGCAGTCTCGACGGTACTGCCTATCTGGAAGATACGAAGGCTGAGCTTACGAAGAGAAGCTGCCGCGAGTCGTAGGACATGCAATCGGTATACATTGTCTGCTTGGTCCTCCATTTCACGTCGAATGATGAAGGTTTCGGACATTTGCATCAGCTGGTCGAACGCGACTTGTCGGAAATAGGAATCGTCGGCGTCCTGGCAATCCTGAATCCTCTTGGTTGTTTTGTCATGCCATTGGACGAATATCTCGGACGTGTCAGCAAGCAATTTTTCGCGATCAACATCAGCAGCTTGTCGCTCCATCTCCATAATGACTCGGGTTTTTGATGACCAGGCAGTCAGCGCCTTAGATGCGAGGTTAACCTTAATTTTCCGACGGACTTTGGCATACGATTCTTGTCGCCGTCGTTTACCAGAGTCCACTTTAGCTTGATGCCATTGCTTCATGTACTTCTTCATCAAAAAATAGAATTGAGCATCTTGAGCCCAGCCTTCCATCTTGACGACTTGATTATGCTTGGATCGCCAGATCGTAAAAGACTCAGCTGCGAGCCGGGGAGCATAGAACTCAGCTGCTACATACTCCCGTTCGCGCTGAAGTTGCACTTGATCACGCCAAATGGCAAATTTAGATCGAACCAAATTTTCAGTCTGATGTTCCCCATGAGCCTCAGCATGAAACAGTAAACGGGTGTAAGTGTCCCGAGTGTTTGTCACAAATCGAGAAAATACTTCCCGCTTGATGCGTTGCTCGCGTATCCTTCGCATCAGCTCAAATCTTTCCATCAGGATCCATTTGTACATTGCCTCCATTTTGATCCGCTCGTCAATTCGAGCACGGAGAGCCAAGCAGCGAAGTGTATCATTCCAGGAGATCCACGCGTTGTGTTGGATTCGATGGCGATCTACCTCTTCTGCCTGTCTGACCATTTGGGCCTTTCCAATCCATTGTGAAAGGGCATTTCGTAGAATCCTGGTATCAACCATCTCAGAAACCCGAGAAGCAGCCGGGGCCAGCCGGGACTGAATTCTCCATTCATCAAAGGTTTCTCTGAGGTCATGTTGGCGTCGAGAAGCCTGTACTTCCTGATCTGCAAGTGTAATGGTTTTCGAGTGATCGGACCATATCTGAAGTACCGACTTTAGAGATGATCGTTTGTTATGCAGGTCTATTTCATGGTCGCGCTCTCGATTAGTTCGCAAATTCCGAAGCCAGGAAAGAAGTGATCGTCTTTTGAGTCGATAATCCGAAACTTCAAGAACACGACGGTCGCAAAAGCACCACCACCAGTCCCAGAACAATGCCTTTTGGATCTTTGTGTTCCGTACAGTAACTGCTTGGATCTCTGCTGTCTTCAAATCTTGGATCTTTTTTCGCCACGTATTGAAAGGCCTCCGTAGCGCAAAACGTTGGGCCTTCAACTCATTGACGGCAGTTATCTCGCGCCAGGCATTGAAATATTTGACGCCAAGAACATGTCTCCGGGCAGCAGAGGTTCGAGCTACTTCTTCCGACGTAAGTTGGGCCCAGTGACTGAACGCCTTTGTCATTAGATATAAATCCCGTGCGCGACTAGCACGCGCTTCAAGGTGCTTGAAGAATCGATCTGTTCGAGCCGAGTGGCGTTTTTCTTGAATTACTCCTCGCCATGGATCAAAGGCTTGCCGGATGAGAAGGCCGCGATCATAATTGACAGCGATTGTTTCCCTAGTCTGGCGAGTCTGTCGTGCTTGAAAGGCCTTTTTCAGCCATTGTGTCAGAATTCGACGACAGATCGATCGCTGTCGGTACATGTTAAATGTCGATGCATCCCGAAGTAGATCCGAAAGTTGTGGGCGGTAAATGAACTCTGGCGGCACCTCTTCTTTGTCAAAAGAATCATGTTCTGGGCTCTGCGAAATGGTTGATTGCGTCTCTTCGGATTCGGAGCTGTCTGAAGAATCATACGAGGGTGGACGACGGGGACGTGAGGCTTCGGCCTTTCTCTTCGAACGGTCACGAGCAACAGCCGACCTCGCAACCACTCCATTAGTCAAGGGAGTTTCTTCCGTGGCTCCGAGTTTGTTTTCTGCTCCGTCAAATCTACTCAGCAAGCGCCGACCAACTTCCAAGAACTGGCTGATTAATTGTGTCCGATCCGGCGATTTGGTAGGCCCGGAATCATGCCTGGAGGTAGGTGAGAGTTTTGGTTCGGCAAACTCGGGTTTGCCAATTTCAAGTCGCGACATTGATGACCGAGAGCTAGGACGATTGATCAAACTTCTCTGTGTCGCATCCTCGCCAATGTCGTACGTAGTGTTGAAAGATGCGCGCCGTTTGGGTGTCGGTGGCATTCCATTCATAATTGGAGAATGGCCGTGGTCAACGGTCTGGCTGTGGGTAACGTCCACTGTATATTGATCATAGTCATGTGTCTCGTTGAGGTTCGTAGAGGCCTCCTCGCCGAGTTCGATCACGATTCCCATCTGCTGAAGCGCATTCTCGAATTTCTCGAAGAGAGTCTCGCCGCGCACACCTTTGCTTCCCATCTTGAACAGGAAGCGCAGACATGCATGGCCTGGGTCCGCGTTGACGCCATGTTCGCTAATGACTTCGTCGTATGCTTCGAAAAGCGCCCGGAAAGGGAGTCGATCCGCTTCGGGTTTTGTCTCGGCGCCAGCGATAACCTGGTAGAGAAAACCGACATCTATAGAGGTCAGGCTCCATTTGAATTAAGTGATTAATTACGCCCTACCATCATCTGAAAGAGATGAGATCTCTTCGGTCGCGGCTCGACGCTGAGAGGATATCGGAGGCATCGAAAATTCGCGATCTTAAGGCGCGCTTGTCGCATCTGGGTCATAGAGCTGCAGGACCAAATAAATCATCGCGAAAGCAGGGAGCGCCGAGGATGAAAGACATGCGCAGACAGAGGCACTCTGCAATCAGCAACTTCCAAAAGAACAAAACAATAAACTCAACCCATGCGCCATCAATCGAAGCAACGGTGTGGGTTGTTGTTTTGGTTGTCGCGACAGAAACATGCACTGTCACGTGGTCTTATGTAACATTCTTGGATTTCCACCTGGGCAAGGTCCTATTGGTTTCACATCGGAACATTAAGCTACTTTACATTTCCTACATCCTAATTTCATCCTTATAAGATGCCAGGAAGAACTCGTCCAGTCGAGAAAATTGCCAAAGCTTCAGCCCAATGCTCCGTAGAGGTGTGCACCTTCTCTCTAACCTCAACAGTGCTCAACTAACTAGCTTGATAGGTTGCGGCATACGGCAAATGTGTTGTTGCGGATTACAACTCGGTACATAAAGATATGTGTGCTAAAGAATTCATGCGACTGAAGAATTGCTATCTGGTAGGTGACGAGTGAGTGCTGTGTAGGTCAACATGCTAACTAACACCAACAGGCGGCATCCAAAAAGGGCTAAAAGTTCCTTGGGATTAGTTATAATGTCCCGAGGAAGCATCAGAATTACTCAAAGATTGGAGCGGTTTGAATATGGCGGCGCAAGCAGGAGCATTTGTAAATTATTATAGGAATTCCGCTAGGTATTGCAGGAGGACTATTGATAAAAGGCTGAGTTCATTCAAAATATCAAAAAAATAGTTAAAAAGTAGACTTTATGTCTACATATGTTCTTTTGGTTGACTTTCTAAATCTTGAGAAGACGCAACAAGAAAGTGGCATTTTGCACCTCCTGTTCTTCCTGCGAGATGGTGCCCTCTTCCTCTCCAGTAGGAAGCTTATCGCCACCAAATGCACTCGGTTCAACTGGGCGGCGCAGGACCTTCTCAAAGGCTTGAGCCTGAGACTTGAAAGCCTCGTCAAGACCAATGTTATCCGGGTCTGAAATCACGGTGTATTCCATTTTCACATCATCGGTGGCAACAAGACCAGCCTTCTTGCGAAGGCGTTGGACGCGGTTGATGATCTCACGTCCCAGACCCTGATGAGCCAGCTCTGGGTACAAGTTCACATCGAGGATGGTCAAGACGTCAGAATCCGTGTTGGTTTCCAAGGCCTTGGAGTTGTCGGTCTCCTTGATTCCTCGCTTCACAACGAGGTCACCCTCAATGAGTTCAATGCCACCAACCAAGATCTTCTTGTCTGCGAGATACCCCTTCACGTCATCGCTGGTGAGCGAAGGCAAGGCCTTCTTGACTGTTTGAACAGCCTTCTTCAGCTTCTTACCGAGCACAGGCCAGTCTGCAGTCACTGAGTATTCGACTTGGTATTTGGCCTCGTCGGAAGAGAGAACAAGCTCCAAAACATTGAGCTCTTCGAGGATGTAGGACTCGAGAGACTTGACATCTTCCAGGTATTGCGGGTCATTATGAATCACAACAAGTGACTTCAGGGGGGTCTTGAGACCGATAGTCCGACGTTCGCGCGAGATACGGCCGAGTTCGATGATAGTCTGCATCCGAGAAACTCTGCGTTCAACAACTTCGTCGAAGAGCTCTTGGCGCACTTCGGGGAAGGGAAGGAAGTGTACGCAACGGCTGTCTTCAGCACGAAGCGACTCGGGAATGTGGGGCAGAAGGCGCTGGTAGATATTGTCGGTGAGGAATGGAGTGAAAGGAGCGAGGCCTCTGACAAGAGTGTAGAGAACCTCAAAGAGAGTGTTCAGGGCGTGCAATGTGTCATCAACGCCATTTTCGCCCTTAAGTCTCTTGCGGTTGAAGCGAATGTACCAGTTGGTTGTGTGATCAATCAATTGTAGGAGGCGTGGTACAACGGTATACAGACGGTAAGCAGCCATCTCCTGGTCAATAAACAGAAGCAGCGATTGACAGCTCGCGAGAACCCAACGATCCATCACGTTCGTGTTGGTGCTCTCTGCTGCAGGGTCAAAGACAAAGTCGATGTTGGAAGTCTTCTTCAGGAGGGTCACCTGGCCCTCAAAGAACTTGTAGCTGTTCCACAGTGGGAGAAGCACCTTGCTGACGATTTCCTTGACGCCAGTTTCCTTGAATCTGAGAGGCTCAGCACGAACGACTGGACTGTTGATCATGTACAATCGAAGAGCGTCCGATCTGTTTAGAGAATGTCAATGAGAATTCTTATGGGGGAAAATTCCCGAAGAGCATGAAAAGTATCAACAACTCGGGGCTAAAGAATTGCAGAACTTACCCGTATGAGTTCATGATCAGCGATGGGTCGGGGTAATTTTTCAATCTGTGAAATTAGCGTGTTAGGTAGGGTTTAGGTCATGGTCATATAGAGGTAATTTTTACGCACCTTTTGGACATCTTAAGACCGTTCTCTGCGAGGACAATACCATTCACCACTACATTCTTGTATGGTAGTCTTTGACGCAAGTGAACTCCGATCACGCTGAGTACATAGAACCATCCTCGTGTTTGACTAAAAATCCAATATTAGCGCATGAAAACCGACGAGAAGGGATAAAATGTGGAACTTACTCAAGGCCCTCGGCAATGAAGTCTGCTGGGAAACGGTCCTCGAACTCATCTGCACCCTCGAAGGGATAGTGGACACTTGCAAAAGGCATACTGCCCGATTCAAACCAACAATCAAAGACCTCGGAAACCCGTCTCAAAACGCCGTTTCCTTTGGAAGAAGGAATCGTGATGTGATCGACCTTATCCCGATGAATATCGGTGAGCTCGCCCTCATAGCCACTCAATTCCTTGAGTTGCTCGATGCTGCCGATAGCAACAACTTCTGAGAAATCTTCACTAACCCACAATGGCAACGGTGTTCCCCAGAAACGGTTCCGAGAAATGTTCCAATCGTGAGCGTTCTTAATCCAGCTGGCAAATCTCCGCTCCTTAACATTGGAGGGGACCCAGTGGGATTTATCAATACCATCAAGGATGTCAGGGATGATAGGCTTAACCTTCACGAACCAGGATGGCACGGCACGGTAGATCAGAGGGGTATCGGACCGCCAGCAGAAAGGATAGCTGTGAGTAATCTGACTGTCAACGAGGACACGGCCGTTACCCTTGAGGAGCTTGATGATACCCTTGTCAGCAGCCTTGACATTCTGGCCCACAAAGTCACGGACTTCAGCGGTGAAACAGCCCTGAGCATCAACGGGGTTGGGGGGAAGACGGGTCTCGGAAATGACGCCGTGGTTCATGGCAACTTGGTAATCCTCCTCACCAAAGGCAGGGGCCTGATGAACAATACCAACACCATCCTCGGCAGTGACATATTCATCATTCAGCACTTGGAAGCCACAATCCTTGAATTCTTCGTAGAAGTAATCAAAGAGGGGTGTGTACTTCCATCCGAGCATATCGGAACCCTTGATGCGGTCCACGATTTTGAACTTAGCCTTCTTCGGGTCCTTGTAGATGGTCCGAAGAAGAGCCTCCAGGAGGATGTAGTTTTTCTTTGTAGCTTCATCATAGATCTTGACGTACTCGAAGCTGGGGTTGGCACACAGACCGGTGTGCGATGGAAGTGTCCACGGGGTGGTGGTCCATGCAAGTAGGCACGTCTCGGGGTCATCTAGCAGAGGGAATGTCACAACAACGGCGGGGTCCTGCACATCTTTGTAGTTCTGCTGCGCTTCGAAGTTGCTGAGCGGCGTGTTGAGGGCGGTGGAGTAAGGCATGACACGATATCCGCGGTAGACGAGGCCCTTGTCGAAGAGCTCCTTGAAAACCCACCAGACGGATTCCATGAATGACGGGTTCATGGTCTAAATAACAAAAAGGAAGTGTTAACACAAAGGCACAGAAAGCCAGACGTACTCGAGCGTACCTTGTAATCGTTATCGAAGTCAATCCAGCGACCCAATCGCTCGATGGTTTCGCGCCATTCTGTCGCGTATCTCATAACAATCGATCGACACTCCTCGTTGTATTTCTCGATTCCGATCTCTTGGACCGCCTGCAGACCAGACATGCCCAATTTTTTGTCGATCTCATATCTAGATTTCGTGTCAGCAAAAGCCAAGCTACACAGTCTTGAGCAAGTCTTTGTCTTGAATTGGATTGAACTTACTCAATGGGCACACCATGTGTATCCCATCCAAAACGACGCTCCACATGGAATCCCTTCATAGACCAATAACGGGGAATCACATCCTTGATCGTCTAGTGGAAAGTATTAGAACTACTCGCAACTCATTCGTAAATTTTCGTTGTTATCTTACCGAAGCAAGCAAGTGCCCGTAATGAGGGGTTCCGGTAGCGAACGGAGGGCCGTCTAGGAATCCATAGCGTGGCTTTCCAGCCGAAAGTTCAACTTGGCGTTTGAAGGCATCGATCTCCCTCCACCGAGCGAGCACGAGCTCTTCTTCCGCAGGAAAATCCATGATGTGGTGACTCCAGTGATTTACGAAAGTGGAGAGAAGATTGACTGCGACTAACAACCTCTCAGGGCTTGCAAGTCCACGGGTGAGTCACCCCCACTCGCTTTTTTTGCCAGTGTGCCTTGTTGCCTTGACCCCTCCATGTACACCGCCTTCTATAATCATCATGTTAGGGTTGCAATGAAAGAAAGGACTAGAATAGACAAAGACTAAAAGGCGAACTGCCAATTAGATGAACATGTATACCTTCTAACTGACAACTATACCACGTGGTAGGTAGGTAATATCATTTACCACTATCATTCAGCTCAAGATATACGATTCTAGCAATCTATATAATGTAGAGGTATCAGCCAGGGGCTCAACCTCAACCCATGCATGCTCTGCAAGAGCAAATAAAGAGTCCATTCGAACATCGATTGAATACATTTTACATTTTCCCTAACTCCTTTTCTTCTCCAGAACCTTATGCCCAATTCCCAAACGTGTCAACAAATACCAATAGCGTATTGAAAGTAGCAAGAAGAAATAGTCACAGAGCAAGGCGAAGAGAGAGCTGGGCCCTCAGTTGTTTTCTAGTACCGATTATATCCACCTCCGCCTTGGTTGTGGGAGTAGTTGTCTCGGTTCTGCCCACCACGGCCGCGGCCTCCACGGTTACCTCCTCTGCCTCCGCGATAATCCTGCGAGCCATAACCCGATTGATGCGCGTTATTGTACTGGCCACCCTGGTTGTACTGGTTGTTCTGCTGGCCATAATAGTCCCCAGGCTGTTGGTAGCCGTGTTGGGGCGGGTGTTGGGGTGGGTACTGGTGTGACATCCCGCCACGAGGAGGGGGAGGCGGTCCTCTGGCGTAGCCTCCGTACCCTTGACCAGGAGGGACCCATCCAGGAGGTACCATGGGGGCACCACCGGGACCACCGGGACCACCTTGTGGGCCGGAGTTGAATTTCGGGTCAAGATGCGCAGCAAATGGGTTCGGGCGGTCACTCGAGTAGTTCATCCGGCCGCCACGTCCTCTGCCCTGGAAAGGTGCACCACCGAATGATCGGCCTGAGTTCTGGGATCGGTTTTGGGTGGCTCTGATATCGTTTGAGTCCAGCATTGGCGTCGGTAGCTTCACCCCGCGGAGAAG